AATTTTTTTCTATATATATATATATATATATTAAAACCTCATCGTTAAATTCTTTTAAAACTTTATTTTATATAATAAAATCAAACAATACCAAATTTTCTATGAATGGCTAGTATATCACCCGATGAAAATGTCACCGAAGACTAACCGTTCCAATCAACATAAAGCAAATTGGTAAATTCCAATTCTATGTTGTACCCTTTGGCCAATTGAGTAGAGTTAAAGAGTTAAATTGTCCTACCCAACCTAACCACCACATGCAGAATTTAACCAATTTTAACATCCTTAATTTTATGTTCTCTTTTCCAACAACCTTCCTTGTTCTATGTATCCTGTGTTACTCATTTTATTGTAGCTGTCATAATCACCGTATGGCCATCCGCCATTAATAATACTGTAACAATGAGAATATATTAATTATAACGTTTATAAATTATGATAATAGACAACAAAAACACGGGGTGACTGGTCCAAGCCGGTAAATTTTTGTCCTAAGGACTAAATTTGACAATTTGCCTTACAAGTAGGATTTTCATTTCCTCTTCTTAGAAGGTGGTTGGGAAGAATCCTCCTCTTCCTCTTCCTCTTCATCTTCATCATCATCTTCATCTCCATTGTCTTCATCGTTATCTTCATCATCTTCGTCGTCATCATCATCATTATCATCACTTCCAGCTACACCATCAACATCATCATCAGAATCAGCTTCTCCCACACCTTCATCGCCAGAGAAATCCTCATCATCTACATCATCATCATTCACCTCGTCATCTTCGTCATCATCATCATCTTCAGTGTCACTGGCATCCTTGTTTTCTTCAGAAGTATGTTTCCCCTTACCCAGTTGGTGTAAATGAAACCTAACCAAGAATTAAACCAAATCAGTATAATTGGATATTCCAAATCAAAACAACCACAACACCATTAAGTAATGTACATTTATACATTGTTACCTTTCATCAATTGGTGACACTAAATTATCGGCATCTGTGAGAAGAGAACCGGTCTGGGGAAAACACAAACAAGAAATAAAGAATCTTTAACTTCCATGCAAATGTAATTGTTTGTATAATGCAGCAAATGTTTGAATTTCACAGAGTAAAAAATAAGCCAGTAACAAAGCTAATGACATACACAAAGCCGAGGAGCAAGTATACACACGGCTTCAAGCAGAAATAGAGTTTTTGACAGGTAACAACAATTCGAATATTTATTTACGGAGAGAGCTCTCTACTTTGAGAAAGAAGAGAGGGACGGAAGGAATATTCTTAGACTTGGGTAAAATGAATTACAAAGAATCATAAAAATAAAATAAAAAATCAAAAGTTTCACTTTTTGACAAGCTGAAACTGCAAAACCATCAAGCATGTGGTGCAGACACAATCAACGCAAAATAAACTGTTCAAGAAAATTAAAATTCCCCTAAACTTATCCACAAATATCTAGTCGGAATCCCTCTTGACACCTCGCTGAATAAATTATTAGTGTTAAAGGCATCATTAGGGATATAAAACCCAGCATATTATGCACATGATGAATCACACAAAAAATGTTGAGTAGCAGCACATAACTCTATCCTAAACATCCCTAAAAGCCAACAAAAAAGCAGCAGCAGCAGCAGCATGTGTGGTGTGTGTGATGCTGAAGAAATTAGGCGACCCATGAAAACAGAAAGATCTAACTCTATTCAGCACGCGCTATGCAATACTGGAATCAAAATGTGTTCCAGTCATTCACCAGTACCAACTTGTGCAATAATACACAACAAAAGCCTCATTCATCTAGCAAAAATAAGGAAGAAGATTCGGTATATAAAGAGCTTGTTCCACTCTTCCGA